AATGGCTTAAACATACTGAGTAATTAAAAAAGAAACATCATCAAGTACCAAAAGTTTCCATATATTATTATTATTATTATCACAAAACACTAAAATTCCAATTCAAAAACCTCAACAAATTTTCATTTCACCTTACGGGATATCCCAAGGCTTGGGTTCAGGAAGTGCCACAACCATACCTTGAAGTTCCTGGGAAAGAACCACCTGACATCCAAGCCTAGAGTGCTTGTTCAAAACCCTAGCTCTAGAATTCCTCTTCAAAACATACTTTTCATCATACGAAGCTGGTGGAAGCTTCTCGAGCCATTCCTGAGCAATGTGTACCTCACATTCAGCTGAACAAGCATCGATATCTTCAAGCCGATGAGAATCTGGGTCAATTAACCCCTGATTCGTTAGTGCTTTGAGCAGTGTTTGACCCGAGAGTCCGACAACATCGCGTTTGTTACCGTCTGGATCGACAGCTGATAGCTTGACAATCCGATCGGCGACCTTGGCGGAAGCCGACGGCGACGACGATGAAGCGGAAGATCGAGCGATTGAGGATCCGAAGGAGGATGATAGAGAAGTGTTTCGAGCGATTCGTGAAGCAAATCTCCGTAGATAAGCGATCGCCATTTTTTGAAGAAAAATTTGGGAATTGGGGATTGTTAGTAAAAACTTTTTGGTTTATAAAGTTTGTACATATTTTAGTAGTAACTTTTTAATTTTAAATTTAGCAAAACATAAAAATTATAATGAAAATTATACGAGTGAAAGTCTTTTATTTAATAATTATTGTTTTTAAATATATTTTTAATTTATTATTATTTTTGACAATTTTTAGTAATTATTATTTAAAATAACTTTAATACATGTTTAAATTTTTATACAACACTAATTTATAATGCAAGCTTCAGTTTATAATTTTTCTTAAAACTTACATATGTCATACAAGTTAGTTATAACTATTTTTAATATATATTTAATATTTTTTTCTCACTATTTATAATTTTTATATAATATAAATGAATTATCTGTAGCATTTTAACATAAATTGTGTAGTGATATGATAAAAAATTTCATAACATTCATACATAATACTAGACATGCGTTAATACTTAATTAGAAGACAAAAAATTATTCGAATTTTTATAGTAAATCAATCAACTTCTAAAACAAGATGTTAAAAAAGATTTTATTCTTTATCATGAGGTTTGACATTTTTGCAAGTCTTCGTGTTGGGGTCTTATTATCCATAATTTATGTTGAGTGAATTTTTTTTTAAAAAAATAATTATTTATTTTAAATATACTCTCTAATTCGTAAACTACATTAAATTTCTATTAATAATTAATTAATCAAGTTATCTAATCGTAAGAAATGAGAGACATAATAAACGGTCAAATGAATTAAATTTAAACTAAAAATGTATTACACTCATTTTAAAGTTGAATTAGAAGCGAATTAAACATGAATTCAAAATGAAGCAAATGAAGAGCACTATGTGATTTGCAAACTCAATAAAACTTACATCAATAATGAATTAAACAAGTATTCAATCATAACAAATCAATCAATAAACTGAAAATGAATTAGTTTGTATTAAAAATGCATTACACAAATATTAAAGTTGAATTAGAAGAGAGAATTATGCATGGATAAAAAAATGTTACTAAAACACCACCCAATGATTTATAGAGTGAATTAAGTTCATATCAATAATGAATTAAACAAGTAATTTAATAGTAACAAATGGTAAACTACAACATGAATTAAATTTGCGATAAAAGTGTATTACACAATATTAAAGTTGAATTAAAATACAAAATTAACAATGAAAAATGTAACTAACGAAAGACAAAACAATAATTTACAGACTGAATTAAACTTGTATTATTCATGAATAAATTATGTATTATAAGTATCTAATAAATTATTTTGATTTTTATCTCTAAGAACATGAGTGATGTTTGCAATTTGTATTATGCCTATGTTATAAATGTATTACAAATGTTTTCTTAAATTATTTTGGTTGATACCACTATAAAAAAAAAAGTGAAGTTTGTAATATAACTTTAATACAATTGCGATATAGTTCCACAAACTTCACTTTTTTTTGAGTTTCAATCTAATTTTTTTCCAAAATCAATTATAAACTTAATCAAAACCTCTTAAAATTGAGATATAAACTTCAAACGACATTTTTAATTATTTTTAAGAACTATCCATCCAAATTAATCACAAATCCGTAAAATTTAAAGTTTTATAATGACCATTAATGGTGAACTTTTATTTCTATAATTTTAGAGGTCTGAAATTTCTGCGTAAAAACGTGATTTTTGTACAAATTTATGGTCTTTTTATTCCTCTTTTTATCTTATTTTTGGATAAAAATGGTGACATATTGGCAAAAACTAATTGACGATGATTTTTTTAGATAAAAAGCCCAAAGAAGAAGAAGAAAAATAAAAAAAAGAAGATAAAAGACGCAAAAAAAAAAAGACGAAGAAGTAGAAGAATAAAAAAAAGGAAAAAGAAGAATAGGAGTAAGAAGACAGAAAGAGACGAAGAAGCAGAACAATGAAAATAAGAAAAAGAAAAAGGGTTGAGAAAAGAGGCGTTGTTCAATTTTCTTAATTCTAAAAAATTGTTATGTTTAGTTAAAAAAATATGTTGACATAGATGATAAATATTTTTACAATATAGCATATTTATGTGATTTACCCAAAATTATATTTGTATGTTATTGTTATAGTTTGCATAACTATGTTTCATAGCAAATTTTATATTTACTATGAAACATCAGATTTGTATAGATCACATGTAGACATTCGTTTGTATAAAAGCAGAGCAATTATATATGTATATTGGTTAGATTGTTGCATATATGTAACTACTATGTATATGTGACAATGATTGTTTTGTATATCTATTTATATAGAATTTAAATTTGTATACAGTTGAATCGAAATAAAATATTTTTCTATCAAAAATCTCTCGGTCTTTATAAAACACAAATGATATATTGTAATTTGTATAAATTGTGTTTGTATAAAGCGGGAAAAAGAGAAAGACAAAAGAAAACGGGTACGGGAAGATCTGTATTTGTATAATTATGAGTGTATAGGATGAAAATATATGTATTTATATATGTATATAAAGTTTTTTCTCGCTTTATGCGAACACAAGCGCAATTTATACATTTGTGTTTGTATAAAAGTGAGAGAGGCAGCAGAGAGTGGCGAGCGAGAATTCTAGGGAGAGAGGTGAATAGCAAGTGTCTGCTACGGATTAGAATTAAATGAAACTGTGGTTATAACATTTAATTTGAATTAATAGTTTGTTATTTTATATAATTTTTCCTTCTTGTGTTGATTTGTATAAATTCAAAATTTATAAAATTCGATTTTTGATTATCTATATCCAAAATTTTGTATATGCTTTTCTAGCTATTTGTTTGTGATTTATGAAAAAATCACAATAAGTTATCCTGTTTGTATATCGAAAAGTGAAATATACAAATATGATTCTGAAAAATCCTAAATATATAAATACAGAATTTGCATGTATTTATCCTATTTGTATATTCATAGACAGAGATATACAAAGCGAATGTAGAGTCAGAATTTTTAATAATGGAGTTCAAAATATGGGGGGAAAAATAGATAGATGAAGTAGTAGAAGGGAGTTCAACTTCTATTATACATACCTAAAAATTATTTTAACTATATATATATAATATAATTTTTCGCCTAGGAAAACGCCACTGTCCGTAGCAGACGAAACTAGCTATAGAGCGTATTATCAAAATAACAGATATAAAATTTTATTATGCCTATTATGTTTGCGAAAATTTCCTATTCAAAAGATAGATTCATGTATTACGAAAACTTGAAAATTGCTTACCTTCTTTCTTGAAACAAATCTCACCACATAGTAAGAAAGTTTTTCCTCCATTGAGGCCCACTTGAATGAAGTTTAAAGTTGGGCTTCTTACATGAATCTGGATCATTAAAAGTCGTAAAAATTAGACAAATCGCATAGTCTAGGAAACAAATTACTTTCTATCCTTATTCTTTAATAATTTATCAAAATTTTCCTTTTTATATGAATTCGGATACTTAATATTATGAATGATACTTAAATTAGAGCGTACAGATTCTTTAATATTTAATTTGTTGTTATCAGTTACAGTGTAAAAAAGAATATAAAATTTATCCTATGATTCAAGCGGACATTTAACAAAATTAGCGTAAAATCTGCATAAACCTCTAAATGATTGATGACGTTAGTGAATTTCTAATTGTCAAACCTTCACATTGTTCTTCGAAAAAAAAACACAAAGCTTGGTTTAAGAAAATTCTGAAACGCAATTTGTGAAGATTTAAAAAATGAATATTTGATCTTGTTAAGACATTCTGGAATATGATTTGCTAATTGATAATAAGATTTGTACTTTTTCATTTGATGTGATTCTAAATTCATATGAATGTTACGGATACGAAATTTGTAGTGATACTAAATATATCAATTTTTATCGTATTATATCAAGTGTGATTATATTGATAATTTGTGTAGTCTCATTTACATAAAACGGTAAAAATATAATGAATCTAATAATAAATTTTTGTTATCAGACACATACTTGTAATCGATACTAAATATATATAGAGTTTTATATGTTGCAGCCTGTTGAACGATATTAAATATATTAATTACATTATTTAGTATTAATTGTTAAAGATACACAAATTTATTTTTGATGATAAAATGTGTATCATATATACTTAATAACTCTATGGATATTATGTCTCTGAAGATAATATTGTATCAGACGTCGTGGTTTATTGAAATACTAAACATTTTAAGTTAATTATTTTGTATCATTTTTTGTAATAATTGTGTAAATATAGTATCATATGTATTGTTAACAAAGTTTATGGTGTATCAGTTAATTGTGTATATATTACTTTTACAAAATTAATTTATAGCGAGCTACTGTTAATTAAATTATATATATGGAGACAAAAATTGAAATTGAAATACATTTCTTCACAAGAATAATTCTTCAAATTAATAACTACTTATTAATATTGTGCTGGAAGGAAAGTTATAAAACAAAATACTAATTTATTTAACTTCAACATAATAGAAACTTAACTACTTTAAATTAACCAATCCACATTCCTCCTGTGTAGTGTAACCACTCCTTCGCCTTGTAGGATCGTCGATATCACTAACATATCCAGCCTTGACTTTGTCCATACCATACTTCCAGAACAATATTCCGTATCTGTTGCGAAGATATTCACTCTGAAAACTATCAGATGGAATTTGGATTTCATCACGCAAGTATTCTGCCTAAGCAACTACATACATTCCACAATCCATGCAAAAAAAAGGAAGATGTATTAAAAAAAATTTGAATGTCTAAGTAAATAAATTGATTTACAATACTAACAGGCTATCGCTTTGTTGTTGCATAATATCTTGAGCATATTCCACTGCAAAGAAATGTTGTGGACCCAACAGTTCACCCGTTTCCCTGTCTTTGTACGCCTCCAATAACAACCAATTAATTCTCTTCGTTTTATCAAAGAAACCAATATCATGTAGTTACATTAATGTTCATACACTTTTATACTAAATATCAATAAAACATCCAACTTAACGGATTAGATACGTTAATGTTCTTGTGTAACGCATAAAAGATACACAATTATCTAAATATTTCATTTGTCGTTATATAAATAGACAAAAAAATAACGTATCAAAAGTATCAAACTGATACTTAAAATATTATCTACGAAACATTAATATTTATGTGTAAGACATAAAAGTATCAAAAAAATTATGTGTTCCATGAGTGCACTGAAAATTTAAAATAAACGATACTTAAATGGAAAAAGCAATTATCAAACTAATGAAAAAGATATAAAAAATCAGGATGGATAGGGATACAAATGTAAATATCGTTGATAGTGTTGGTCAAATAATCAGAAGTGTCGCCTTTCTACCCCTTTTCTTTGGGATTTTTTGGTCGTTCGAAGTTGATGCATGTCTTTTCTTTAAATAAGATATCTTGCTAGAACTTGAATTTGTCATGACTATAGGGTCATACGACGATTTTGAACTCAAAACTTCGAAAATTTTGATTCTGAAAAAAAAACTATAAATTTTTTAGAAAAGGAAGAATATTAGATACACAAAAAAGTAAAAGAAAAAAGAAAAGAAAACTTACTGGAGAAGATGATAAACCAACTTTGAACTTAATCTTCGGAACAATCGATTGTGGAAAAAAAACTATAAATGTTTTAGAAATGGAAGAACATTAGATACACAAAAAAGAAAAAAAATGAAGGAAAACTTACTGAAGAAGATGATACACCAAATCTCAACTCTAAAGCGTATGAATAGGGATTAGATTTTTTTTATTTCAAATTTAATTTAAAATTTTATCCGGAAATTTTAGGGGGAAAAGATTTTAATGAAATTTTTGGGATGAGAAAGTTTCAGTTTTGATTTCCTAGGTAAAGAGTAAGTTAGGTATCATTGGTGTAAAAAAGAGATTTTTGAATTTTATTAAAAGAGTAGAAAAATATTGGAAATAGGTAAAGTAAAGTTGTGTAGTTTAATAATTATTCCTTAAAAGTCTTATAGGTTGGGTCACTAAAAAATAAAAATTACAACATATACACATTTAAGGCTATATATATCGAGTTATAAATATACTTTTTAAAAATCATTACTTATAGCATATATTATCGAGTTATAGCATATCAATTAAAAATATATTTAATTAAAAATAAGATATAATCTAATTTAAATACTAAATAATATGTTTAAATTTTTATTTTTAATTTTACAGATACCTTTTTTAAAATAAATTCTCTACATTTTAAAACATATTAAGTATTAAAAGTTTATTGTCACCTTTTTGAAATTAAATACTAAATTAATATTATTAGTTTACAGTTACCTTTTTGAAAATAAAAAATAAATCACATATTTTTTGGAATTTGATTTTATCACCTTCCTACTTTACCGTTATCCAATCCCAACCCACCCCCCATCACAGGCCAACCGGTGTATACACCATCATCATTCTTCTTCCCCAACGTGTCTTACGCCTTGAAACACTATCCACACCAATCTTTCCCAACACCCACAACTCAAGATCCACAATTGTTCTTCCACAACACTACTCAACAATATTTGAGCGTTGATTTCAAAAATATTTTCTTTTAAGTTTTTATACAATATCGAAGAAAGTTAGTGAAACGCCCCGTAAAAGTCCAAGATTTGTTGAGGGGACATCATCTGATGATTTTCATGTTCCTTCTTTAATATTTTGACTCAAACTCTACCGTACAATTCCACTGAAAAAAGACTGGTATTTTGAAGGTTCAAAAAGACAAAAAAAAAAAAAGAGGCAAAGGAAAGAGGATCTCCAAAGAAAGGAAAAAAGAGGAAGAGAAAAGCTACTCAAACCTCTTCAAAATCTGATTTTGACTTTGTTGAAGAAATAAAAAAGAAAAAATCAAAAAAATCATCAAAAAGGAAGGAGTCAGAGATGCAAACTTTCAAGAAAGTCAAAAAAGTGATTAAGGTAAGTAAAACGCTTAATTTAAAATTTGGGTAAAATTTTATATGTATGTGAGCATAATTTTTTATTTTGTTTGACAATCGTATTATGTATTAATATTATATAAATTTTGTATGAATTGATATAATAGTATTGTATGAATACAATTTATGTGTTTGATAGTCACTATTTAGATTTTTGATAACTTTAATATGAATTACTACTGTATAATTTATGTATGAATTTGTTGTATAAATTGACGTATTAGTATTATATGAGTATTATTTTGTAGTTTGAAAGTCACAGAGTAGATTTTTAACAATCATAGTTTGTATTAATATTGTATGATCTTTGTGTGAATTGATGTATTAGTTTGTATGACTTGTGTATAAATGATGTATGAATTGAGATATGCACTGATGTATTAGTTTTGTATGATTTGTGTATGAAAGTCCCTTGGAATTTCATTTTATGTTTTGTGTATGAATTAATGTGGTTGTCCCTTGATATGACAGTGTATGAATGATATTTGTATGAAATTATATATTTCATTAAAAGGCTTGATTTAGTTTTACCAATTTTGTAGGAGAAGAAGGTACACACACATTAATCTTCATGTACTAACATGAATGTGTTCGTTGATTTGTTGACCTTCCTCGGTCAAGATAGGTTCCAACAATTTCTGCAAGAAACACCCTTTGTTTTTTTTTTATGAATTACAAAACATAAAAATTCAATGTTAATTGTTGCGGCATATTTTTATTCTTGAATCTGAAAATGTCAGAGATAACATGTTTGTTATTAATGTAAATGGTACAGAATTACACTTTGGTTTAAAAAAAAATTTAACTCTTCATACACATTTAATACAAATATCATACAACAATGATCCAACACGTTATAAATAATTCTTTCTTGCACGTTACTAAACACATTGTAATATCAATTTCGTTGACTTTTTTTACTAGTAAATTAATTTATTTTTCCAGAAAACACGTATAAATAGAATTTTCAATTTTAATAAAACTAAGACGTCTATATTGTTCCATGCTGTTGCAAATATGGTACCTACCAATACAACGTTGTGAAACAAAAAACACCATAAATTGTATAAAGAATAAAATTACCAAAAACAAACCAACAAACTATAGTAAATACCAACCTGACGGATCCCATACAGTCCACCATATTTAATTAATATGAATATGTTGTTGTTCATCACAACAAATCACGTTTTTTTTTACCGTAAAATATTTTCAATCACCAAAAAAAATTGAAAATGCAATCTGCAAACAAGAGAGAGAAACACGATAGAGGAAAATAGAACAGAGTTTAATTTGATTTCAAATTATATGAGCGTTTTAAGGAATCTAATAAGAATTTAATTTGATTTCAACTTTGAGCATTTTAGAAAAATTGAATAATCTGATTTTTTTTGTTAGAATCCTTAATATGTGTTAATTAGTTATTATCTATTATTAATTAAATTATTTATAATCACAACAATCGTGCTATTTTTCATTTAAAAATAGAAATGTTATTTATTTATTTTTATTTTTTTTAAAAAACAAATATTTTCAATTATCGATTTTGGAGCCTGACTAAATTTTGAATTGCGTACTATAAAGTTTATTTGGGGGTGACACTCTCAAAAAAAAATCACTCTCAAAAAAAAATCATGTCTAATGAAACTCAAATTTGAGACATCTAATAAAGGATAAACAGTCCCGCTAAATTTCACTATTACATCATAATCTATGTTGATTATATTTAAAAGTAACCCAAACAAACAAGAGATTATTAAAAAAAATTAAAATGCAATTCTTTTCTTTTAACTTTGGTATGAAAAGATTAACCTAAAGCGGCCTTATTTTCCTTTTAAAATAAAACAAAATAAATATTATTTATATATTGACTAAAGACAAAGTGTGTATATATGTCAAAAAAAAACTAATCTACTTTTTTGCTAGTTTATTGACACAAAAAATATCTACCAGATAAATATTTTGACTCTCACACCCACCTATTTCAGGTATGTGAATACTTTTTACACATTTATGTAGCCTATATAAGTAGGCCAAAAATAATTGAACATTGTTCATAACTGCAAAATTGATTTGTCCAAAAAAAAAGATTTAAAAGTTTTTATTATTTTTTATTCAAAGAAGGAGGATGTAGCCTTTTGCAGGCTAAATAAATGTAAAATAATTATTAAACTTCAATAAATATTTTATTTGAACTTGTATTTAGCTGTACGATTAGTTTAGTGCTAAATTAGCTTCTGAAGATAGTGTAATGCAACATGCTAAAAAACATTGTTATTACATATATAGATGTTAAAATTAGATAATGAAAATGTGATTAGTCGTATACGCAGTTACAATAATAATAAATTCATATCATTTTTTATTTTTTTTATATTTATGCTTTTGACTTAAAAATAAATTTCTTGAATGGTGATTGATCTGCATAAATGAATGTCGACGAAAGCTTATGAAATTATGCATTAATTTTACATTTCTATTATTAATGGTGATTGAAGTCGTATAATTGATATGTGTAAGTATTATTCTCTTATTTATTTATATTCATATATTTTTTAATTAAATTTGAGAAAAGTGTTTGAAAAGTATTTTAATTTTGATCGAAATTGATGTTACGATACAAACTTTGTGGAGGACCTTTTACACCATATACTATTTAATAATATATTTTAAAGTTATATATGTTTCCACGTGAATACGTTATTTTTTATAATTATGCAAAATATTTATGATGTGCACGTGAACACATATATACCTTGAAAATATACTAGTAAATAGTGCATGGTGATAAAAAGTCCTTTCCAAAGTTGAAGTTTTAATCAAAATTTGAATATATTTCATACATTTTTCCTATTAAATTTTTAGGGATAATGTCCAAGTACTCCCTCAACCTATGCCCGAAATCTCAGAGACACACTTATACTATACTAAGGTCCTATTACCCCTGAACTTATTTTATTAATAATTTTTTACCCTTTTCGACCTACGTAGCACTATCTTGTGGGCCCAACGATAGTTGACTTTTTTTTAAACTAGTGTCACGTAGGTTAAAAAAGGGTAGAAAATTACTTATAAAATAGGACTTAGTATAGTATAAGTGTGTTTCTGAGATTTCGAGCATATGTTGAGTGGTATTTGTGCATTATCCCAAATTTTTGTATGAAACTTTAGATGTCGTAATTCCATTTGGCTCAAATTGCACGACTTTGTTGAACTAATTACTTACCAAGTTTAAATTTTTTATTGTTGATTTTGCGTCAAAAAATAAATTTTAAATATTGAAAAACTCTCTTTAATTAGTATTTCTTATGCTTTAAGTAAATCTCCTTAATGAAGAGTGAAACTTAATGTTGCAAGGCTAAATTGTTTTTAGTAGGATAAATTTCATAAATGATTTTGTAATTGTAATTTTTTTTATAATATATCATAATTATATATTTTTAATTATCAAAAAAGAACAAAAGTTAAGAGAATTTTTCGATTAGAATAATTTTTACTCTACATCTTTAACTCATTTTTATTTTTAATTTTATATTATAAATACATATTCAATTAAAAATTAAAAGAGGAATAACTCAACACGTAATAATAGAACGACATTATTTTGCAAAACAATTTGCGTACAAAACTTCTTGTCTTCTGCACGATCATGATTCATGATATTGGCTTATTAATTTTGTGGTTCATTTTATCTTTTTATTATTTTTTCTTTTGTGAAATTTTTTAAAAAATATTTTTTTATGCATAATTTTTTTAATAAAAATTCCTAATATATTAGCAACACCTTGAATTTGTAATTAATTTTATTTAGACAGTTGTTACT